CACCGCAACCTCTACCTCCCGGGTTCAAGCAATTTTTCTGCCTCAGCCTCCCACGTAGCTGGGATTACAGGCATGCGCCCATACCCGACTAATTTTGTATTTTTAGTAGAGACAGGGTTTCTCCGTGTTGGTCAGACCGGTTGAACTCCCGACCTCAGGTGATTCGCCCGCCTCGGCCTCCCAAAGTGCTGGAATTATAGGCATGAGCCACCACGCCTGGCCTTGAGAAATTTACTTTCTAAATATAACCCTAACGAGTTTTGTTTTCAAACTTGATCTCTATTCTATAGTCATTGTATTCTCATGTCATCCTAAGAGATAATTATGTAGTTGTATGGGAATACAGTGAATAGGAGCAATATGGCTGAATTTACATAGAGTAAAACATAACTTGCCAATTGTTTAGTTGAAAATAATGTTTTGTGGCTACTTTAAGTATTGTGGTCACAATTGGGAATTTCTAAAAAAGACAATGTTTTTGCTTCACAACTGAGCTTCTAAACTTAAGGACTGACTTGAAATCAAACCCTTTAATTAAATTTTATTATCTAAATGAATAAGGCATATAGGCATCAAGTCAGTTTCTAAAGGTGCTGAAACAAGAATTCTATAAATATCTACCATCTGTGGAATGCATCTGTATACAAGCATGCAAGGCATACTTGCATACCTGAAAAAATATTTATTACATTAATTTTTGGAGTATGACAACCAGTTAAAAAATTTGAGATACAGTGGTATTGGAAAGACAATAAAGGATCTGGCTATCAAAAACATTTCAAAATGAACATGTTGAATAATTCACTTGATTAATTTATAAATAAGATTCTCTACCAGTTTGTATACCCAAGTAATGTTTTATATATATATGGGTTCCCACCTCTGCTAACCCCTGCCCAAGAAGCAGTTTGCAGGTGGATCTAGAACAACCCAAAAAACGAACGTTTCTTCTTTTGGTGCCCAATAATATTAATTGCTTCGGGCCTGAAAAAAGACCTTTCAAAGTAAGGGATGTGTTCCCTAATTGAAGAGAGCCACCTCATCAGCCACTTCGTCTACAAAGAGGTCTTTCTTTCTTCCTTTCTTTCTTTGTTTCTTCTTTGTTTCTTTTCTTTCTTTTCTTTTTTCCTTCCTTCCTTTCTTTTCTTTCTTTTCTTTCTTTCCATAGAGTCTTGCTCTGTCACCCAGGCTGGAGTGCAGTGGCATGATCACAGCTCACTGTAGCCTCAACCTCTGGGACTGGAGCAATCCTCCTGCCTCAGCCTCCCAAATAGCTAGCACTACAGGCACGTGCCACCACACCCAGCTAATTTTTTGTTTTTTGTAGAGATGGGGTTCTCGTTATGTTGCCCAGGCTGGTCTCGAATTCCTGGGCTCAAGTGATCCTCCCACCTTAGTCTCCCAAAGTCCTGGAATTACAGGCATAAGCCACTGCACCCAGCCTGCAAAGAGGTCTTTAAAGTGAAATACGAAAAGCATCATGGTCTTGTTTGCATACTTAGACATGTTCCCATTTTCTCTTCATGAGTGGATGCCCAGTTTACTTTTGTAGCAAAAGGGTTGTAGTTAGAAGTTGAGCAATGATTTGGTTATCACTGAACCTTTGCAAGACCATTAGCACTAGCAAGCTTAAGTTACTTCAAGAGAAAGGCACTTCGTAGTTGA